ACATCCCAGAGCTTGCAAGGCATTGCAACCCTCGAATCTAGTTTTCTGGACGCCCCCGAGCACAGCTGAAAGCTGTCTAGCTGTCTAGCCGGGGACCAGACGCATCGACGGATGCAAAGGGGTCATCCATCAAGACTAGCCTCATGCAGGGCACATTGTGTTGAGTCAGATGTAGAGAAGTCGGCACTCGCATGGATGAGCCACGTGACTAACTGTAACTGGTGCATTTCGAGCCGAATCTCTGGAAAATTCATACCCAAGCTGCTTCAGAAACAAGACGCAGAAATTCCTGGATGCAGAAAGAAGATCTTGAGTGAAAGTCTGAAGAATCTTGTTTACCTACCATGGTTCGCGGTCACTCCAAGGACATCGCTGTGAATTCAGGTGGTACGCAGCACGGGCCATGGAGACCTTGAGGTGCCCAAGGCATGACGTGTTCAGTCTCTACGTCTAAAACTGCGGTCGCACTTGGACGGTGAAGTGTGGACTAAACAAGTTTTTCGATTGTTCCCATGTCTGATGTTGCTTCAGGGTTGCGCACTGCTCTCGCTCAGGTACGGTAGAACACTGAGTCAGCGAGGGAAGGTGCGCCAGGCTCTACGGGATCAAAACCATCATGGTGCTGTGCGATTATCAAGGCTGCCACCCTTGCTTTCTGGCCGCCAGACAAGGAAATCCCACGGGCACCAATGGGAACCTGATCACCACCTGCACGATCAGCAGCCCTATCAGTTCTCACCAGAGGCAGTCCTGCTTGACCCGCTGACGAGCTTGAGTCGAGTGCTACTTGACAAAGCCCGATGGAGGGGCGAAATTCATCGACAACAAGCAGGTCCCGCCTGGCAGGACGTTGAGATCCTCTCCCAACGATGCTGCTTGCAGCGCTTCTTCATAACCTGGGAAAGCACTCTCGAAGTCTTGATGCAAGAAGAAATTAGATTAGCTCCGGATTTATCCCCTGCAGGACCGGGAAGTCCAAAGCAAAAACCGCAGTGTTTCTCTCTGAGCCCCAAGCGAAGTTGCTCAAAAGATTGGCCGAACAACACGTTCTCCTGTTCAGGGACTCGAACTCCAAGCTCTCCATTTGTTCACTGGCCATGTGTTGCAAATCCGGAACAACGTCCAGTCTGAAACAGGCTGTAGAGGAACGCTGTGAAACTGGCAATGCGAAGGGCAAATTGCTGGGCTGGGTCTGAGTTCATGAGCCCCTTGGATTTGCCCTTGGCATTCCCACCCCGTGTGGGGCCGGATTCTCGGTATACTGAGTCTACACTGTAGACCCGAGTCCACGAGGAATTGGCTCCTGCAGTTCTGCCCCTTGCCAGGGACGAAGTGGAACGGTTTCAGAAGCACACTGCCGCAACTTAGTTTCACAGCCAACCCTGCAACGGAACATGGGACCATCTCTGGAGCATGCCTGCGGACTCGAGGCAGCAGAGGGTGGCACTTGCCACTGCAGAACCGCAGCTTTATCATCAGAAAAGCCACGAATCGCGTGTGAGATTTGCGTGCATCCGTGTATCTCTTGGGGCCGCTTTGCAATCGCAGGGATGGAAACAGGTCGTTGGCCGCTGCTTCAAGATTGGCTCAGTCACGTATAACTGAACATGATGACTTTTCCGTGGCGAGATGAGGCTTCTGTTGCATTTCCTCGCCTTCATAATCTTTGCCATACATGCATGACCATCGACCTTTGCCCGCGGGTGCGGCAAGCACGGCAGAATTTGATTCATGAACGTCCTTGTTGCTTTCGTTGCCTGGAGCTTTGCCAAGCAGTTGCCTGATCCGGCTTCTAGCCTACTCGTGCCTACTCGGTACCTAAAGGGCTGTGGCCCACAGCACATGCTTGGTGCCGAGTACAGCGGTTTCCGAGACGACTCCTACACTACTGATTCCTAGGCTACTTTAAAGTGAAGGCTTCCGAGGGATTCCGCTCAGCTGCAGCACAACAGGGCCTGAACGAAAGCTTCTCTTGTATCGCGAATCCCTCTTGAAGCAATTTTCGACTCTGCCGATGCGAAAGGACGGCAGCCTTGAAAAGGAACTGCATCAGGCCCCCCTAGAACCATCGGATTCGTGTGGTGCTTGTCAAGTGTAGATTGTAGACTCGTAGACAGTGCCGCTGCGAAATATGCTCCGAGCGTTGGGCGAAAGCATCTTCTTGGCTGCAAATTGCTGAAGCGCCGCGTATGATGCATGCTGCATGCTGCAGGCTATACTTACCGGCTTGCAGATGGAAAATGAAAAAAACGACATGACGTGGAACAAGTTTTTGAAGAATTACAACACCTTTTTTCCTCCCCCCTGCTATTCCAAGTAAGCTGGCTTGGAATATCAACCAGCTGGAACAGATATCTAGCCATACATGAGCACAAACATACGTGAACAAATCTTCTGTGGGGATACCTCATTGCACCCCTATAGCACACAGCATCCACTTGGAATATGGGTTCAAGTAAAAGTCTGAACAGACAGACAACTGAGCACATGAAGACGTGAACACAGGCCCCAGCTTTTGCCTCTGCAAGATGAAGTGCAAAATGATTGCGCATTGGAGCGCTGCTCCCTCTTTGGACTCTGCATAAGTAAACAGCTAAACAGCTACAAAGATACCTCGTGCCTGTAGTTCACTGCAGAGCAGCCACTTGGAATATGGGATTCTCTTTGTTCTCTATCTTTTGCTATGCTAAAGATGAAGGGTTTTCATCTTCGCTGCCATCTTGGAGTGATCAGGGTTTGGTTTCGAGATTTTGGGGCCCCAAAACCCTCCCGAGACTCTGTTGACCACTGAACGAAGCCGCAATGGCTCTGGCAAAGAAACCTCGACCCATTCACTGCACAGCAGCCACTTGGAACATGGGAATATCTTTGTTCTCTCTCTTTCGCTATGGTTCTCTCTCAGACTCAGTTATCACAAACACATACCTGTGAAGCCTGAATCCCTGGGGTCAGTCATGTCTTTATCTGCTTTTCGCGATGGCCCCTCAGTTTCTGTCTCAGCTATCGCTCACTTAGAATACAATTTTTCATGCGGCGACCCCCAACGACCCAAATGGAATAACTCAACTTTTAGCAAAAAAACAAGGAACCATATTCCATCTGCAAGCCGGTAAGTATAGGCTGCATTTTTGACAAGTGCAAATATCATTGAACGTAGGGTTGATGGGCATAAGATTCCAGCTCCCGCAGCAGCCTCAGTCTAATCACGTCACCTGGAGCTTAAAGAGTATCTAAGTACGCTCTAGGAACTCGGACAGGCCAATTAGGATCTAGGGTTTGGCCCGGCGCAGCTATGCATCAATCCAAGCAGGACGCGGCGGAGTCCCTGCGCTTCGCCACGTCTGACCAGGCCAGCTTCATCGTTTTGGCGGCAGGCAGCCTTTGTTCAACCATGTTGAAATCTTCGTAGCCTGAATCCCTGCAAACCGGGGCCATCGTCACGGCAATCTAAGCCCCAAGCTGCTTTCGTGTCGCTTGTGACAGCCAGCTTTCCTTGACTTCATCCCCAGCGAACACTTTGGTGCCAGGTCTCATAGAAGCAAACTCTGTACGGCTCTACCTGAGAAACTCCCTATCTTAAGCCCCGAGCCGACCATGCAATCCTCCTCGTTGCATCGCGAGGCAGTGATGGCCGAGCCTTCTCGCACTCCTCGTACCTTGGAAAGGCACATACCCTTCGCCCATATACACACATAATATATATGTATATACACATACATACATACATACATACATACATACATACATACAATAGTGATGTTGTTGTTGTTGTTGTTGGTGTTGGTTGTGGTGGTGGTGGTGGTGGTGCTGCTGCTGCTGCTGCTGCTGCTGGGTGCTGTTGCTGTCGCTGTCGTTGTGGTTGCTGTTGCTGTTGCTGTTGCTGTTATTGTTATTGTTATTGTTGTTGTTGGTGTTGTTGTTGTTGTTGTTGTCGTTGTCGTTGTCGTTTTCCCACCCGCCCAGCTTTGTCGTCGTTGCTGTTGCTGTTGTGGCTGCCTGAAAAAATTATACACATACATGCATGCATACATACATACATACAAGATCAGATAGACGGATAGATGGACAAATCGTCCGCCCGCGCCGCCCGAACCGAAAGAAAGCTTGCAGGAAGGAACATGCAGCTGTGGTGCTCCATTGTTGATGCTGTGAGGGTGCTTCCTGGGGAGCTCCTGGGTTTCATCGGGATGTGTTCGAGTCGGGATCTGCAGGGCTACAAGATGTGTGAAGTTGCATGAGAAGATGTGGCCAGCAAAGCCACAGACATGCGACCAGCCATCGAATACTGCAGCTGACGACCAATCATGTAAAATCAGTTGGCCAAACATCTGGATCCCAGCATGCACACATTGACTCAGCATGCTGAAAATCATGCCCAAACCTTCGCAGGTTCAACAGCTTTGGCTTCGAACCCGTGACAGGCCAGGCAAAGCCCACCTCGGTGGAGTGATGTTCTCGGCGTCGCTGGGCAATCGGCCACGGGGCGTTGTGGCAGGGGAGGAGAACCTCAGCTCAGGGGAACTCACAGATTTCGAAAAGTAGACGTTGGTGCCCTGTTGGAGATACGATCTAGTTGTTGATTACTCTCCTGCGATCTACGTAGCCGGAAGGGCTACAGTGTGGGTTCGCCAGCATGACTTACCGGGAGCTCTTCTTCTGCAATCGGCCGCTAGCCTCGGACGAATCCAACACGATTGAACCTGCTCTAGGGATCAGCCGCTGAAACATCCTGAAACATCTGTAACCTGATTTTCGGGGTTTTCAGAGCCGGGCAATGGCCGGACCTCTTCAGAATGATGCGGCACAAAAAACCTGAACCCTTCCGGTTGAAGCCGCCTTACCTCCGTATTCTGGTTGTGCGTAGCACACGATTTTCGACTTGGCTTTCGGCATTCTGTCCCTGTCTTGATTGCATGCTTTTTCCAACATTGAATGCAATGACGATGGAACTGCGACTATGAGCGACGGATCGGTGATCCGTCCGCCAGCGCGGAGTGAAAGAAGCGGCGTTTGGCCGAACTTGAAAGGCTCGGGCCCTCGGGGCTCTCGGGCAAGTTCAAAAGGTTGGAAGAGTTCTAGTTACAAAGCCCAAACATAGCCCACTTCTGCCCCTGGCCCCTCAGCACAGGCAGACAATGAGCATGGAACGTGGCTGACCCGATTGCATGGGAATCAGGCGACCCTGCCAATGAAGATTACATGCTTCCAGTAGCTCAGTAGCTTGCACCTTTGTGGGGGTCACAAAATTATTGTCGTACAACGTTCGCTCCACCTCCGCCCGCAAATCGGGTAAGCCACTCCGAGTGGGAGAATCCAGCTGTAGCTTCGAAGAAAGCAAGGCTGTTGCACTCTCCCTGGGCACACTCGACACATTTGCAACCTTGTGAGGAAACTCTGCCCCAGCCACGAAGCGCAGTTTAGCTGACCACGCAAACCGGGGTCGCCGTTGCGGAGTCCTCATTTTCAGAGAGAGGCTCCTGCTTCGATGCCTTCTCTATCACTTCCACCACTGCCTGCCACGGGTTGCTCGGGCTGTGAGATGCCTTCAGGGAACTGATGTCCTACAGAGGTCCACCTTGTGGGCCCGGGCTTTTCCGAAGCTCGTCGGAAACCCGACTCGCCTTGCACGTCGTCAAGCACTGAGTGAGAGTGACATGGATCATGGTGACAACACACTTCGAAACTTCTGGCTTTGCCTTGCATTATGGTCCGATCTGCTAAGGCCCTGTAGTCCGGAACGTCTGCTCTCTGACGTTTACCCTGACACCGGCTCATCGACGATATCTCCAGATATCTGACACAGGTACATGGATGACATGTTTTTCTGCTGACACACATGCACACCCATGCGAAAAAAAACATTGCTGGAAGGCAAAGACATCTACAACCTGACTCTTCACCACTCCACTGCTCAGCCACAGGCATTTTCCCTGTAGGTCTCCAGCTTCTTCAGCACCTAAGCTGATGCGCAAGAGGTTTGGGCTTCCTTGCAGCCGGTGGCTTGCTGACAAAGAAGACTACGACTATGAATTATCCTTGGGTCCGGTTGTGCGAATACTACCGTGTTGCCACTGAAGCCCGGCGGCATCGTCCACCGCCGCTACAACGGTCGCGGCTGTCAGAGTGGCAGGCTTGAGCAGCGTGCCGCAGCCCTTCTGAAGGAGGATGCGTGCCTGACTGACAGGCTCCCAACTCTGGGATGCAGTCGTTACTCACTCACTACGCATGTGCGTTTATCCTGCATGGCAGTATTCCACATTGTGGAAATCTAACACACAGACCTGCGCCAAGACGATGCTGTGATGCATGGACATGAGACTGCACAGAACTTGTCAATGCCCACTTCCCACCCTAAGTCTTAAGTCTTATATAAGGGTTGAAGGGATGAGCATAAACACTGCCTTCGCACTCCATACCAGCCACCTCTCAGATGGAGCTGCGTGTAACAAAGCCACATATCTCCAATACCTGAACCTGCCGTCCAGGAGCATTTTGCTTTTGGTCTCCAAAGCCAGGAAAGCAAATCACCGGCTTACCGGCCATCATGCACCTGAAGCACCGGATGGAAAAGGGTGTATAGGTGGCACCCTTCCAAAGTATCGCGAATGTATGGAAAGAGACACGCCACACCCGAAATGGCATCCGGCAGAGGCTCTCAAGCACTCATACACATGGTTTGCATGAACTTACAGAAACAACACAAGACATCAACCAGGACCTCATCTCGTGCCCTTCTCATCCTTATCGTTCGAAGCCAAGGGCTTACTGTCAGGGTAATTCCCGTGTTCTCTATTGGTGACGGCAGCCCCGAAGGATGTAAAACAAAGTGAGGACCAGGACCCCAGCTCGCTGCAGCAAAGCACTCAAGAGAGCCACCCCATCCGCAGTGGGTCAAGACAGCTGTGAGCTCCTTCCAGAGAACTCGGTGACTCGGAACACGATCATCAAAGGTCTCACGAGGAGTAGGCTTGGCACCAAGACATGAACCTACCAAACATCAGCCACCATTGCAAATGCCACAGTCCGGAATGGAGAGGATCTCCACTTGCGGCATCCAGTGGTGGATCAGAAAGTTTTCGGAGACAGACTCTGGAAGGAAGCTTCGCTTGCTTTCCTCGCGGCGTGAGCGGCGAGCGATGCCAGCAGACCAGAGAGAGCTTCAGTCCAATCTTGGGTTTCTTTAGATTTATTGCTTCCTGTCCAGTGCCACTTCAATCGGCGCTTGCTACATTTGGGGGAGCCCTCAAAGGGGCTGCTCAACCGAGCCCTGAAGCTTACATTTCGTGGCGCAGCAGCCCCTTGCTTCAGGAATCACATGCCGAGCCTGGTTCAGGATTCAAGGCCTCTATAGGGCCGTCCATACTGGGTGAGTATTTGTGGGCTCTGGGTTACTGTACAAGACTACACTAATGCCGCATCATGTACGGTAGATCAGGCTTCAAAATTTAGGGAAGGCTGCATTGCACCGTCCATCAACTTCATTCCAGCCTTTAGAGACCAGATCACTCGCACATCTCTTGAGGCAAAGCCATTGTAGAGGGCCAGCACCTGGGCCTGGCAAACATGTTGCTTTTGGTTAGGAGAACAGGACGGGATTACCAAGTCCCCGTGACAAGTCTGCCATAGCCGGCTACCTAGGAAAGCATGTTCTGACATACTGCCGCAGGGCAAAGCAAGTCATGGACACTAGATCTAGAGCGTTGAAACCTGCATTAGTGCTCGTGTTACTGTTTGTTGTACCATTTTGATACGGCGCCATACAGCACACCAGCAGTATCTGGCTCTTTACTGCAGAGATTTGTTTCGCGCGTGCTATCTCATTGTCGCTGTCAGCCTGCCAGTGCTACGAAACAAACGATCGAAGCAGAGCCTCGCCATTTGCAGCAGCTGGTACAAAGATTCTGCATTTTGTCGAATACTGGCTGTTTACTTAACATAGCAAATTCCAGGTACAGGTTCTGATGATCATTCGTTGTGGCACAACGGTCGTACTGTGTCCTGCTGGTGCAGTCGGACATCATGGCTCAAGCCCCACCTGGAGTCAACTCACAGTGGCGGGTGTCTGCTGACTCTGCTTGTAGCGCAAGCTTGCCGAATGGAGGTTCCACGAGAGCTTACATGGAGACGTGAGCCATACTCAAAACGAGCTGGCGCCGTTCCAAAGGCGCGAGCAAAAACTCGTGGCAGCAGACCCTCGGCTAGAAACAGCCAATATCCTTCGTGCCCTTCAAATCATGCCCGCACTCGCCGCCTCAGAAAGGTCCAGAAGAGTCCCGGTTGTGATGTAGAACAAAGGTTTGGCAGAGTTGCTCGTCCTGGGAACATGGCCCATGATGGTTCCACCCTGTGAACCCCAAAGCTACCTAAAGCCCATGGTACAACCTGTAGGACAGTATGGCAATGAACGGAGAACCTATCTAAGCTTCTGTGACGCGCTGCCCTCAAATCCAGCAGCTAACAGCTACCAATGCCGTAGCGGTGCGACTGGTGTGCTCTACACAACTCATGCACAACTCATCTTCAGATCACATGCAGACGCATTTACGTCATGTAAACTCGAAACCCAAGTTTCAGGAACAACCGTCTTCAAAACTGCAACGAAGCGACTTCAAAAACTTCAAAACATACGCATGGTTCGCTGCCTTTTCCAGCAGTGGCTTCGGAGTAAAGCCATCCAAAGGCCTCAGAGCATTGGAACTGTATCGGCTGTCGGCAAACACTGGTGCACTAGGACGATCTGCATTGAAATCAAGCCGGCCTTCGGGTGAAAAATACCTGGATGCCTTGGACTAAGCAGAAACTTCCAGAAAGCCCAAGGGCCCGGAGACGAAGACGTTCGGTGGCAGGGAAACGGGTTCCTCAGTTCACCGAAACACGAAAGGCTTCTTGCACAAGGCGTATAGCTGGCTGACTCCCTGCCAGCCCTGGCTCGCTCCCTCTCTTCTCCAAACAGACAACAGGAGCAGTCGGACTAGCCTCTCCGAATGCGAGTCTTTGCTTTGCTTTGCTACAAGGCCAGTCCCCTTGACCTGCACGGAACAAAGGTGAGTACCTCTGTTTTTTCAGGCTTGAGCTGGTGCCATCCTCTGGCTTGCTTGCAAGGGGTTTGGGGCGCCCAGAAACGCGCAAGGCTTACCCCATGGCTCGCGTCTGCGCGTCAGCTCGGCCCCTTTTCGGGGTTGGAACCGAATGTTCATGCCAATACAGTCCCGAAAGACCCCTAAACACCGGACACGCGTATCACTCCGGTCATCATCCACACTTCCCAAGGACTGTGGGACACGGGGGCTTCATTTCTGGCAAACACTCGCCGAAAAGGTACCCAGAGCCACAAACAGTCATCACTATGCCTCGCACGTCCCCCTGTTGTCTTGCTGAGAGCCCCACTCCCTGGGATATCGGGGTGTAACTCACTCCGAACGGAACCTCGCACAGCAGCACTGGCTGCACCTTCCCACCCGCGCCCTGAAGCCTCGTGACCTGCTGCACTCTAACAGCTACTCTAA